CACACACACCACACAGAGCACTCTCTCTCTCTCTCTCTCTCTCTCTCTCTCTCTCTCTCTCCCCTGACTGCCTATACGCCGCCAGGGCTGCTGTATCTAGACAGTTGCTTGGAATAGATAATCTATAATGCCCGTGCGTTCTATACGCCCCCGATATGCCGCTGGCTCTTCTGTAAAAAAAATACCCACACTCAGACACTCGTATCCCCTCAGCGCCTGTACTTCCCCACATCCTCCTCATTAGGGAACATTCCCATCAATCTCCCCGCGGAGCACTGATAAGCATACATGAACCCTCCCATCAATCCAATCAATCCCGCGCAGTACATCGATGGTCCACGTACATTGACACTGCCACCTGCAAGGTACCCCACTGGTAGGGACATTCCCGCAAGTCCCACCATCTTCATGGTGTCGTCCAGATTGAAGTTCCGTACAGTCTTCCCCAAGCCCGGCGTACGGTCGATCACCTCGTACTTGGGCTCATCTAAGAAGATACCCATCGCCGCCAATCTCTACCTTCTCTCTCAGCACACAACTGCCAAGCTTCGCCGGCTAACGGAATCCGTTACCAGTGCTTTATTTCGGCCGCCAACGGAAAACGATAACGGCTTCGACACAGCTGACGTCAGCTGGCAGGAGTGGCTTCCACCCGCACTCTCTCTCTCCTGCCTCATGGGACTAATTGATGGATACGGACATCCGTTAACAACTAGCCGAGGAGCTCGAACCCCACTAGAAGCAGAGGAGTACACTAGAACCCTCTGCTTCTAGCTCAGTTGGTACAACCCTGAACTGAAATGCAGACGGGACCTCGAACCCCACTAGAAGCAGAGGAGTACACTAGAGCCCTCTGCTTCTAGCTCAGTTGGTACAACCCTGAACTGAAATGCAGACGGGAGCTCGAACCCCACGAGAAGCAGAGGAGTGCACTAGAACAGTTCACCAACGAGATCGAGCCCCACTAGAAGAAGAGTAGTACACTAGAACAGTTCACCAACGGGCCGGAACACCCATGAACTGTTACCCACGTTCAAATGGAGTTGTGCAAACCAGCACTACCTGCAGGCCTCCGAATTTCAAGTGGTAGCCTAGTACCTGGGCCTTGCAGGCCTCCGAATTTCAAGTAGTAGCCTAGTACCTGAAGTGTCAGGAGGCTGAGCCCGCCGTCGATAAAATCCACTGGCCGCTACAGGCCTCCAGACTCCGTGGACCCTTTTCGGTGACAGGCGTGCTGCAGGTAGTGGTGAGCCACTTAGCCTTACGGTTAGGTGTGTGACGTACCAGCTTCCGTACCATAACTATCTTCTGAAGCCCCGAGTTTTCATCGACCTGACCCGTCGGATTTCTCTTGGGCTCCTTTTTTGGGAATCCCTTCTTTTTGCTATCTCCCCGGTGAATGAAATCACGGGCCAACCAGGCCCCTGCATGTCTACGTTTCTTTTTTATTTCGCTACAATTTCTTTTCGGCGATCCATGCATCTACATAGGAGGTTCGCGCGCCTTAGTGAGCGCACTAGGGAGCTTGTTTGGCAGTTGGAAATTCCGGGATTTACGGGCGCTCTTCTCGCTGCTGTGTCGTTTCTTGCAGATGGATGTTCCCGCACCCGCCCTTGAAAGATCTGTGAATTCTCAGTAGGCAGCTAGATAGACGTAGGATTTTCGTGCGCTCAATCCCGCGTGCCGGTATTGCATTTGAATTTCTCAATCTTGAAGTAAATTAGGATGGAACGTAACTGTTTTGGTGCCTTCTTCTTTTCTGCACCGGCGCCATGCATGCAAGCTTTTCCCGCTTCCCGCTAGGACCCATGCCATTTTTGCCCTCCTCCTCTTCGCGCCCTCTCTCCTTCGCCTATAACTGTTTTCCATCCCCTCTCTCTCAGGCTTCACACCTACTCCTTCTCGTCTGAAATTTTGGTCGCGCTTCGCCCTACTTTTCTCACCAGTGATCTGATTCGCTACGAAAAAAACAGTGGGGATTGATATGGCTTTCCCTCGGCAGTTATCCCAAACTCCCTCTTCACCCCTTTCCATCTCTACCTCACTCTTCTCCATCTTCTATTCCCCTCTTCGCAACTATAAAACCCGCAAAATCGCCCGGAAAGCTCTCTCTTAACCCATCTACCTTCAGGAAAGTCGTGGCTAGGTGATATGCAAGTAACAAATCAAAAAGTCCTGGCTAGTTGACTGCAGTGTATACATGACCGTGCACTGGGCGGCCGCGACGAACTGCAGGATTGGGGCAAGTTGGTGCAAAAGTTAAGTTGGCGAGGTGGCGATCTCTGTGGATCAGAGTTTGGTACAGGGCGGGCGAGATTGTTGGTACCTAAGTGAGACTCGGAAGAGTGTGTACACGAGTGCAGTGGTTGCATGGGCAATGGCCATTGTCAGAGAGTAGAAGGCCTGTGCGCCTTGATTCTCGAGTTCTTCTATTGGCTGTCGGACGCACTCCTTCAAGACTGTCTGCGTGTTTTGAGTCTTGTTTTTATCTCCTCAGTTCTTTTTTTCGATCCTTCTGCGTCTCTCTCCCTCTCTCTCTCTCTCTCTTTCTCTTTCTTGCTCTCTTGCTCCCTTGTTCATAACTATCTGATGATTGGTGAAATGACTCACGACTTTCTTGATCTCACTCGCCCCTGTTGAATTCAATCGGATCTTGCACGAACGAGCATCGTTCAAGTTAGACTCAAAAGGACCAGTAAGCTCTGAAAAATCTCATCGATATTTTTCTTCCTGATGATAGATGTGTCCGTCAATGAAGAATTCATGTATGTAAGATGTGTTATGCATGCATATTGCTCCTGTAATAAAGGATGATTTCCGTTGTGATTGAATCGAACTCACACCTTTCTTTTTTTGATCGGTTCGTTGAATAAATGGAATACAAGGAAGTCCATAGCATCATAACTCACTACTACCTTTGTGATTGAACGGTCGATTGAGTAGATTCATGTACTCTAAATTTGCTTGTGCTATGTGGACCGATTACTCAGACCCGTCTGGGCGTCGACTCCCCTCACCCCCCTCACGACCATTTCCATATAATTAGAAAATGACACATTGTCGGAGCAGAAACCCTTACAAGGGGATCTGCTCAGGTTTTTCAATGTCAGACGTTGTCTGACTTTTTCGTTGAATTGAGGGACTTCATGAGACTGACGTCTGCCAGAAGTTTATTCGGACCAACCTATGACCAAGAGACTATAATTTTTTTGAACCTTAGTCTGGACGCTTATGACGTCCGAGAATAATGACGGTAATCGGCGGTGGACCAGTCAATTGTTGTTTCTAGCAGGGTCACGGAGGCACACGGTCATGGGAATGTTAAAACTAAAAACCTATCCTGCTTAAAATAATGACGCGCGGTTGTACAGCCGCGCGATTCAGGGCCTACGTACATTGAAAAGAGCAGCTGCGTAAGATATAGGGTCACGACATAAAAGAAATGGGATGCCTTTTTTTTTTTTTTTTTTTTTTTTTTAGACCTACGGAGTCCGATTTTTGCGCCAGGGGTCGGGAGAAAACGACCTCGGGGCCTGCCCCTTTGGGTGGCTGGTCAGGCTGTTGATAGGTAGCCGGCCACGGAAAAGGGGCAGGCAAACAAAGCCTACCTAGCCACAGAGGAGCAGGCAGACAAAGTCTGTCTAACCATAGGTGGGCGGGCAGGCAAAGTATGCCCACCCATAGGTGGGCGGCCTACTGGGGAAACCCCCTTCATATTGAAGGGGTGCTCCTATTTTGTGTGAAATATGAGTTAGCCCAGTTGGATAACATGTTTGATTCTTACCTGGCGGAGACTGGGATCGAACCCGATGATGCCCTACGTGAGCTAGCTCCTTTTGGAGCTGCTCATCAATATGAGTCTGAGGCACGACCATCTTCAGCTGCGAAATCGCTAGATCTCACGGCCGCGCACCTACAACATGGCCCCTGCGCGGAGGATGACACGCATAAATTGAGAAATGGTTCCCCGATGGGAATCGAACTCGGGTCCTGCATGCTGGAAAGAGGAGGGGAGACGCCAGCAATGCCTGACGTTGGCTACTATGGGCGTTGGCATAAGCCAACGACATCATTACTGGGAAAAAAAAAGAAGGAAAAATAATGAGACAAGTTACCTCAAGGTTGGGAAAATAACAACCGTTTTGGCTCCCAATGTTTTTTGAGTTGAACATCTGTGGCCGCAAAATCTTTGATCTTGCGACTCACGATGTTTGCACAGAGAGAGAGAGAGAGAGAGAGAGAGAGAGAGAGAGAGAAAAAAAAAAAAAATGGGAGGGTGGGAGAGAGGATGACCTACTCCTCCCGACCTGCCACCTGCCTCCCCGTTGTCGGGTGGGGGGAAAAAAAAAAGAAAATAAAATAAAAGAAAAAAGAGAAAAAGGAAAATAAAAGAAAACGAGAAAACGGGATCTGATTTAAATTTATGAAAACCCTGTATTCTATGGTTTGCGCCAATATTTTTTTTGTGGCGTAAAACAATTTTGTCGGCGTTGAAGTTTTTTACGTAGGTAGAGAGGCACCTAGGCCATGCGCATGAATGTTTTCAAATTTTTGTATTGAACGAATGTTTTTTAAAAATCATCAAAGTCTGGGTACTTTTTGCACCCCTCTATGAGTCTGTCGGGATTTGAACTCGTGAATTTTTACGACCTGCATGAACTGGCCAAGGTAAGGGTCAAACGCGTTATAGTTGAAGTTAGTTAGTGTTTTTTTTTTTTTTTTTTTTTTTTTGCATTCTGGTTAGGACACTTGTCCTCCCGAGGTGTTGCCTCTGGTAGAAGCTGCTAGAGGTAACTGTCAGACTCCCGTTTTTAGAGGGAGCCTGAAAATTGAGGGGTCATAAAGAAAAAAAGACTAAGTACAGTCTTTTCCTTGATGTATCTGCCTTGGAAAAAAAGTCCAAGTACATCAAACTTAAAGGGGTTGTATCTTCCCAAACCCTTGTAAGAAAAATAAAATAAAAACAGTTTTGGAAATGCCACGACCCCAACTATCTCGTGAAAATCCGAGATAGCTGGGGGAAATAAAAGAAAAAGAAAATGAGGGCAGTTAAAGAAACTGCCCTCACTAAGGCTGTGGTTGTGGTTCGGCCACAATTAGCTCTGGATTTTGGCGAGATCAAGGGCTCACTGTGAACCCGCGATTTTGCTTAGGGGTTGGAGTGACGTCCAACCCTCCTCAACCACTATAAAACAGGTAGTTGTCCCCAAGTGCCACATAAAGCACGCGTGCTGCGAGTGTGTGGCAAGCACACTTCAGTGTTGCTGGGCTGCCGAAGGCGCCGCCAAAGGCAACGTCGGAGGAGGTTGGAGGTCTGCAGTGGAGCGCGTGAGGAGCAGGGCAGCCATAGCCGGTACTGGTCTAGTGGAGCGGTCCTAGAGACTCTACAGGACCAAGGCGGCATGGCGGGAGTATACTTTGGGCCTAAATTTTGTCCAGGACCCATACTTTATTAATTTGACGAAGGTTCTTTTGCGGCAACGATGGGCATCGAGGCCATGTTAGTGGAGGTACCACTGGATTGGACTACGGCAGGTACCAGCGGACGGATCTTTGGCAAGCAACTTTTTCACTTTAGTGGATAA